TTTGACCTTTGTTCCTTTTTTTTAACCAAAGTTTTTCATCTTAGTTAGATATATCCAAATATAGTGTCTAATTAACTATCCTTCATTTTCTCAGTGTTCGCGTTTCAAACGAGTTGGGGCTCAGACATCCAAGAGCGGCCAAATACTCCGTCTACGTGACAGTTTTTCAGTCTCTTCTGATCGGACTAATCTTCATGGTTGCTATTTTGCTAACTAGAGACCATTTCTCCATCATTTTCACAAGCAGTAAGAAATTACAAGAGGCAGTATCTCACCTAGCATATCTGCTTGCGGTGACTATGGTCTTAAATAGTGTCCAGCCAGTCATATCAGGTTTGACACCTCTATTTTCATTCTTCACAGCGTACTTCGACCTTCATCATTGTGCTGCGTACTTAAATGTACTCAAAGTATCCCCCTACCTTGATTTCTTTTGCAGGTGTTGCCGTCGGGGGTGGATGGCAAGCATTAGTTGCCTATATAAACTTGGGCTGTTATTATCTTTTTGGGCTTCCACTTGGATTTTTTCTCGGCTACTCTGCAAAATTAGGCGTGATGGTAGAACATTTACTTCCCCTAGATTCTGCTTAGTAGAACTGCATTTTCGGCAGCTGGCTGTGAGAATGATTAATTGAACTTCTTAAGCTTCATGTCGCGATAGAATACAATTTCCTTTCCTCCCACACAAGGAGGTACAAGGTTAACTTGCTGGCAGTGATAATGTTATTCGCCATCTGATGCTTCTTAGTAGCTGATACATTTCTACATCCATCACACTTACTCATTCTAGCTTTATTCTAACTAAAGTTCAACAATTTAGGGTCTCTGGGGTGGCATGATTTGTGGAACTGCCTTGCAAACCTCGCTGCTTCTGTTGGTGCTCTACAAAACGAACTGGAAGAAGGAAGTAAGTAATGCTATTCCTGCAAATCTGAAAATAGATCAATTATGGTTACATCTCTACCCAACCAATATTCAGGAGGATTTCCATTAGTCCCTATGAAATTCTATTTCCTTTGTCCATGTCGTAAGGTAAGTGTAAGCCATGGTTTTTCAAGCATCTGATATATAGAAATTTATGGAAAAAGGCTAACTAGTATGCTGAGATGAAGATGAAGCAGAAACGGGAGTGTAGTTGTGCGAATTCTAACTCGATCGATCTGATGTCATTTGCAGGTGGAACAAACGACGGAGCGCATGAGAAAGTGGGGTGGGCAAGACATGGTGCCAAAGCTGGCTGGGGATGCCATATGACAGCAAAAGCCATCAGAATAGTGAAACATCTGCATTGTCATGATGGAAAAAGGCCATCTTCCCCGGGCTATTCTGGTCTTGCCATGTACTCTTCGCCCTTCGGGAGCGCACATAGGAAGAGAAAATATAAGTAGAGCAACAGAAATGAGAAGCAAGGAGAAAGAACCAAATCGAGCTACTAAAGTCCATATCGTGAAATTGGAATCAGTTCACTTCAGGTGTACCACTACTAGTCACGCTCTCCGATTTTCAATAAGTTAGCGCAAGTGCTGGATTGATGGGTCTATATTGGAGTTAAAGGTGATTTGCTAACTATGCTTAACTTAAGGACATGAAAAAGTGTCCATCTTTATATCCGTATTCCCGCTTGAAAGAAAGGCCAACTATCTTGATAAAGCAAAATAGTGCTCTTTGCCTTAATCGTTCTGGCTCTTTCTTCCTAAAACCACGGATGCTCTCACGACAGGCTTCGTAGGAACATTTTCCTGTTCTCAGTCCTCCTTCACTAAAGCTTAAGACTCTAGCAGCAAATCGGGTGGTAATAAATCTATCAAAAACTGTCCGAAGGTAGACGGATCTCGGGAGTAAATAAAAAAAGGGAAGTAAAAAAAAATGTCAGAAGTGGGATTTGAACCCACGCCCTCTCTCGAAGACCAGAACTTGAGTCTGGCGCCTTAGACCACTCGGCCATCCTGACCTTGAATGCTTGAGCTTCAGTTGACAATTTATATGTATTAATTGTGACGGGACAGAAGTCGCGTTAGATAGGCCGTCTTTTTCGGGAACTTTCAAGGATGGAGATAGGCCCGACCCATGAAGTTGTGTTGCGCGTGCCGTGTCCCACTCCGCCTGACAGTCACAGCAGGCCAACCATTATCCACTTCCCAAGGCAAAAGAAAGCAGATTCGCTAACGTCGCCACCACTCCATCTACTCCCCACTCCCACGGAGTTTCATCCTCCACGCTTTTCCAGTTCTTTCCCTTTCCAGGCACCTTCGTAGTATTTCCACTAATCACGAGGGCAAATCGGTCAATCCACCCGTCCCGAGCCGAGGCCAGCCCATAAAATTCGCTCTAACAGCTTTGATACCAGGGGTACGCAAAAGAACCGGAGACAAGAAACGCAATGAAGCGTGGGATTTATACCTTCCCCTTGAACGCGGGCCGCGGGTTCTTCGATAAGGCAAAAGGAAGTGTCAGAAAGTGGGAGCCGTCTCTTTTTCGAAGGCTAGAAAACGTTGGGGACTTGAGTTGTGCCAAGTAGGCCATACATTATTAGTCCATTTAATTAATTGCCACGTGTACCGGGCAAACGCTCTTTAGTTTTTCTTTTCCTTTCTTTCTTTTCTTTTTCTTCCCCCGTGCAGAGCTCCGTCTTTCTCTCTCATGTACCAAGGCGACGGCGGGGATGACCGAATCGTCAGAGGGCCGGCACAGCAACCTGATCCGAAATACGAACAACGAGAAATGTTTGATCCCGAAGCCACATGTACGAGAGAAAAGAAGAAAACCCGGAATGAATCGCCTCGTTCTCATCTGTACGAGAGGAGAAAAAAAAAGGAATATGTTTATTGAAAGTTTTAAAACTTATTACGAAAGTTCAATTGAATCCTAAAACTTGTAAAAAGTGCAATCAAGTCTTAAAACTTGTCAAATTGGTTCAATCGAGTTATAAAGTTATCACCGTCCAATTTGGCTAACGAAAAATGCTGACGTAGCTTTTTTATTATTTTTTTCCATTTTACGTTGCGATTACATGGCTTTATGATTATTATTTAAATACAAATTTTATTTAGATTAAATTTTAAAAATAAGCTAAATAATTATTTTTTAAAAAAAGGGAGGAAAGTGTGCCAAAACGACGTTGTTTTAGTCTTATGTTTCGTAATTTAGCCACGTCAGCGCCATGTCGGCGTTTTCCTTTAGTAAGTTAGACGGTATTAACTTTAGAACTCGATTGAACCAATTTGACAAGTTTTGAGACTTGATTGTACTTTTTACAAGTTTTATGATTCAATTGCACTTTCGTGACAAGTTTTTGGACTTCCGGGGAACATAACCCAAATAAAACTATAGAGTAAGAGTGGGGCCTAATGTACACGCGGCAATTAATTATAAGGGTGTTAACAGTTAGGGCCGGAACTTATTGATACTCGACACAACCCAACCCGAACATGAATAGAAGTATGCTCATTATGACTCGACCCGAGGTATGACTCAAATAGATTTCGGTTCGAGTTTTCAAATTCTTCTTCTTTTTTCATTTAACTCCTTCTCTATCGTCATTGTGGTTTGAGACTCTTAACTTTGTGTTTGGGCGTGAAGTGTTGCCTATGGGTTTAGATTTTTCTTGCCGGTGGAAATTACAATTCTTTTGGGTAGGTGAGTTGTTTTGCTCTTTGACTCGAGACTCGTCGTTTGTCCGTTTCTTTTCACACGTGAGTCAGAAACTAATTGCGCTTCTCGCCTCTTGTTCTTTTGATTATGTGCCGCGGAGTGCCATTTCTAGGAAATTTGTGAACTTGAGTTTTTACCGCACATAAACGGAGTAAAGTTATGACCATAGTTTGAAGAGATTTTTTGTTCCTTGTTGTCTCTCTGCAATCTGAGTCGAGACAGAAAACCGAATCAATAGACGGTAAAGGCCCTTACTTGACGGCGAGATTGGTGATGTAGACAATGGAAGGAGTGTTCTCTTGGAAGAAGCGCACTATGGCGAACTCATCGGACCGGAGAAGTAACGACATAGGCGGAGGCAGAGTCGACAACGGCGTTGAAGAGGGATATCGAGGTGCGGATGAAATGGACAGAGTCGGGAGTGCGAAGGTGTTCTTGGTCGTGAGTATCTGGAGTTGCTGAATCGAGGAATTGGAGATGATGGGCGGATCTCAGGGCAAAAGTTGTGGACGGTGAAGATAAACGATCTGGGAGCAATAGCGTTTACTTGTGTTTCGGTTCGGGTACCCGAACTGTCATAATGCTCGAAAATTCGTTTTTTTTTAATTCAGTATTCAAACCGGAACGAGAATTGACCCGAAATTTTCCGTTCGGTAGCGAGCATTTGAAACGATCCTAATTAATAAATGGGTTTATGAACGGCCTTCTTGGCCCTACTCAAGCACCAACTACTTTTCTCCCCCAAAGACCAAGACTTTAAAAGAGCCTTGGCGCCTATGGACCGCCCGCCCGGCTATCGTGACTTTAACATCAATCCACCGTGGGAGGATGATTACGCCTAATTTGAATTTCGAAGAAAGGAAAAAGGGGGAGCCTGGCGAGATGGACCGTCCGTTTCGGGGAACGTGTGACGAGATTTTCAAAATTGGAGAAACGGGGCCCAGCCCCACCTGGTTCGGTGCGTCCCGCGTTCACTCCGCGTAACTGACAGTCGCCAAAGCAGATAGATTCGCCAATCCCACCCCCCACTCCCGCAAAGGGCCAATTCCATTGCACCCTTTTCTCGTGTTTGTCCCCCCCCCCCACCCCTCTCCCACTTTGTCCTTTCCTACTGGCTAAATTATCTGTCAACTGGTCCACGCCAAAAACAACCTTCGAAGGGCTTAAGTATGATTAGATTACTATTATTATCATCGTATTTACCAAAAGAATATTCCGAGTTCATTGGCATTTTCGTAGTATCCCGCTAATCACGAGGGCAATTTGTCAATAGCCCCACCTATAAATTCCCCCCTCATCGCTGTCCCAGTCCCTATGCGTTATCCTCCCCTCTGCCTCTCTTCGACTTCACTCGGCCAAAACAGGGAAAAGGACGCTCTCGGGAAATGGCGTCGCGCTACGAGCTGGAGGTGACCGTGTCGTCGGCCAGGGACCTGAAGAACGTGAACTGGCGACGCGGCCAGACCCGCGCTTACGCCGTCCTCTGGGTCGACCCCAGCAACAAGTGCTCCACCCGGGTCGACGAGGAGGGCGACACGTGCCCCGTCTGGGACCAGACCCTCGCCATCCCCTTGCCCCCCGGCCCCATCGAGGACCAGACCCTCTACATCGACGTCGTCCACGCCGGCTCCGAGGAGGACACCAAGCCCCTCATCGGATCCGCCCGGATCAAGCTCCGCGACGTCCTCGACGAGGCCGGCTTCGGCGAGCCCCTCAAGCGCACCCCCCAGCTGAAGCGCCCCTCCGGCCGCCCCCACGGCAAGGTCGACGTCAAGGTCTGCGTCAGGGAGCCGCGCTACCGCGCGCCCGACCCGTACCGCGAGACTACCTACGGGGTCCCGCCGGCGACCAGGGAGTACGCGCCGCCGGTGACCAGGGAGTACGCGCCGCCGCCGCCGGCGTACGCCAACCCCTACGCGGCCCCGCAGCACAGCCCGTACTACGCGGCGGCGCCTCCGGCCGGCGGCTACTCCTACGGCTCGTACAACGCGCCGCCGCCGCAGCCGCAGTACGGGCAGCCGAGCTACGGGCAGGCGCCGCAGTACGGGTACGGCGGGGAGCAGGCGCCGGCGTACGGGGGGCAGTACGGGCAGGAGGAGAAGAAGAAGAGCAAGTTCGGGGGGATGGGGATGGGGACGGGATTGGCTGTGGGCGCGGTGGCGGGGGCCCTCGGTGGGATCGCCCTCGCGGAGGGGTTCGATCACCTGGAGGACAAGATCGCCGACGACGCGGCGGAGAAGGTGGAGGAGGATCTCCGCGACGACGACGCGGCGGAGAAGGTGGAGGAGGATCCCGGCGACGACGACGGCGGCGGCTATGAGGAGGATGATTTCTGAGGGGGGGCCGGCTCTTGTCCTTTTGCTCTGTTTTTACTTTCATCAAGTTTTATCGTTTTCTGTGGGAGTTTTGTTTGCGGATGATGTTGGCGTGCCTTCGGGTGCAGGCCCGTTGATGTATTTTCTCGTCAATCATATATTGTAATCTTCACGCATAAGCATACTCTATAATTTTAATTTTTTTTTAATTGTGTCATACCTCGTGAGTATGTGCAAGCGAGAGCAACTCGATGGTTTTTTTATCTTTTCCAAGGTTGCACAATAAATAGATTATAAAATGCGTCAAAGGGCGGAACAAAAAAAAAAAGAAAAAAAAAAAAGATAAAGAGAGAGATGTTGCGTAGCGTTTCTTTAATAACTTGGTCGTTGGCAAGGGCGATCATTCATTTTGATGCCGAAAGCTTAAAGACAGAAGTAAAGTAGACGGTGGCGATTGATTCCCTCCCCTTTTAGCATAGTAGCGATGCTGGAGAATCAACTCGCAAGCCCACCTCGTCAATCGACGGAATCCATTTGATTTTGATGCAAGCAAAGGAAAATTTCGGCCGTAACATGATTCGATGGATGGCGTGAGGAGATGGGGTTCGAGATGAAGTTTTCTAGGAGTTGAACAAAAACAAGGCTGATTTGGTTTGGTTAAGGCTCAAGGAATGTTTCTTAATTGGAGCAGGATTCTTAGGTTGTTTCCCAGTTTAAGCAGATTTCTTAATTTAAGGGAATTTCCAAATCTTAGTAGATTTCTTAGTTAATGTTTATTTCCTAATTTGAGTAGACTTTTAGTTGTATTGTTTGGATCATTGTCCCGCTCAATCCAAACAATAACCAAAACCCTTAAGATCCCTCCTTCTCCCGAACCCCGCCGACTTCTTCTTCCCGGGTTCCGCGTGCCGCCGCCCGGCAACATCACCCTCAGCAGCGTTGCCGAGATCGACGGCCGGGCGTCCTCAAGCTCACCAACGAGACGCGGTAAAACCCAGACTGAACCGATGACCATTTGATCAGCAACGCGACATCATCGGCAAGAAGAAGACTTTCAGAGGCTTTGGACAGAAAGATGGCCGATGGATTCTAACGACGCATGCAACACCAATCTAATGCACTTGAATTCCACAGGAATGCCGCTCCAAGTTTCAACTGCGAGCGAAAAGTAAACAAAAATTACTTGGTAATCAGAGAGGCTGAGTTCCTGCGCCGGCATGCAGAGGAGAAGAGAATGGCTCCCTCGAAGGATTCGAAACCTGGCGTGAGGGGGCGTAAGCCCGGGACTTTGATGCGCTTCAAAGGGTCCGCAATGATCCCCCCGAGAAGTCAAGTGCGTGTAGTAGCTCCAAGAGCGAGAGCTCAAGAGAGGCAGAGCTCGGACTCCGAGCGAGCGAGCGAGCTCCAAATGGAGAGTGCGCCAAACTTGAGTTTTCAATTTGATGGAACACCCATCAAATCATATCAAATCAAATGCAAGAAAAGTGCAAAGTGCAAAGCACAGATGCAACTTTGGAAGAGAGAGAGAGAGAGAGAGAGAGAGAGAGAGAGAGAGAGAGAGGTGGAATGTGGCGGGCTCGTCGACAACGCGGAGTCCTCCTGCTGCGGCAGCAACGATGCCGGGACGGTGGGCGCAAAGGCGGCGATGCCACGGCGGCGGTTGAATCGGCGAGGTCGGGCGGTGATGCACGGGTCTTCTTGGGAAGATGATGAATTAGGGATCTGCAACAATGGCGTCTCTCTCTCTCTATCTCTATCTATGAATTCATTATTTGAAACACAAAACCCGCCCGACCCGACGACATGACTCGGCCCGATCGTGTAGTTTTATCTTGTTCGGGTTTTGTCTTGGGTCGTCGAACACATATGTCCAATATTTTTGGGTCGGGTTGGGTATCATGAAAACCCGACTGCACCCGACCCACCCATTGACACCCCTAATTCTTAGGTTGTTTCCCAGTTTAAGCGATTTCTTAATTTAAGGAAATTTCCAAATCTTAGTAGATTTATTAGTTAAAGTTTATTTCCTAATTTGAGTAGACTTTTAGTTTGTTTTTGAGAACAAGTGTCTTAGAAGTCCTAAAACTTATCACAAAAATGCGATTAAATCATAAAACTTTCAAAAAATGCAATTAATATCTAAAATTTATCAAATTAGTTTAATCATTGTTAGCCCCGTCCAACTTGGATAATGAAAAATACTGATGTGGTTTTTTATTTATTTTCTCTCACCTACATGACGCTAACGTGGCTAAAACATAAAGGAAAATGCCACACGACGTCGTTTTTTGTCCAAATTTGATTTTTTTTAATTTAAATATTATTTGAATTAGATTTAGAAATTAATTTTTTTTTAAAAACTAGGAGCACAAAACATGGCGAGGGGGGTCGCTTACGATCGGCTAAGGTCGCCGGCCACTGGCTAGGGCCTGGCGACTTCGATCAACCCTCACCCAACCATCGCTAGCCCTTTCTGGTGATGGTAGGCGGTGGCTCGCCCTCTTTTGCCATCCCTTGTTTTTTTATTCCAATTTAAATAATATTTAGATTAAAAAATCATATTTGGATCAAAACAACGTCGTTTTAGCTTGGTCCTTCATGTTTTAGCCACGTCAGTGCTCCGTAGGAGAGAAATAATAATAATAAAAGCCACATCGGCGTTTTCCATGAGCTAAGTTGGACAGAGTTAATAAAAGGATTTGATTGCATCAATTTGACAAGTTTTATGACTTCATTGCATTTTTTTGAAAGTTTTAGATCTCAATTGCACCTACATGACAAGTATAAGACTTCAAGTGCACTCGTCCCTTATTTTTAAGTTTAAATAGGTTTCCTAGTTTAGATAGGTTTTCAAATTCAAGTAGGTTTCATAATTAAAATAGATTTCTTAGTTCAATTGGTTTTCCAATTTGACTAGTTTTTTTTTTTTAAATTTAGATATGTTTCCTAGTTCGGTTTATTTCCTAATTTGAGTATGTTTCCCAATTTGAATAAGTTTCTTAGTTTGAGTAGGTACCTTAGGGCGCGCATGGCAATATTTATATTCCAGAAATCAATTTCTGGCCTGAAATAGATTTTTCTATTTCTATTTCGTGGACGAGTTTCTAAGTAAAATTGTGTGTTTGATAACGACACAAAATTTCTCCCTTCCGGGCAGCCGGCGGAGGACGGCGGGTGGTGACGGGGGGTGGAGGATGATGGTTGGCGGTGGGAGCGGCCGGCGGTGAAATAGTGGTGGCCGGAGGTGGGAGCGTCGGCGGGCAATGGAGCATGACGGCCGGCGGTGAAGAGGTGGCGAGCGCCGGCGTCCCGGGCGGTGGAGCACGGCGGCGGCCGGCGGTGAAGAGGGCGCGCCGGGCGGTGGGCACGGCGGGCGGCCCAGACGGACCGGGCAGTGGAAGAGGGCGGCCGGGCGCAGCCGGTGTCGGGCGGTGGAGCACGGCGGGCAGCGGCGCCGCCGGCGGTGGAGAGCGGCGTCGGGCGGTGGAGCAGAGCGGGCACGGCGGTGGAAGGGCCGAGGCGGCAGCCGCGTCCGGGCGGTGGGCGGTGGCGGCTGGGCGGCGGCAGTGGAGTGGAGAGTGGCCGGAGCACGGCGGTGAGAGCAGCGGCGTCGGGCGGTGGGGCACGGCGGCCGGCGGTGGAGAAGCGCCGGGCGGTGGGTGTCGGGCGGTGGATCATGGCGGCCGACGATGGAGGGCGGCCGGAGGCAGCCGGTGTCGGGCGGTGGAGCATGGTGGCCGAGCAGGTGGAGGCACGGCGGCGGCCGGCGGCGTGGTCACGGCAACCCGGCGGTCGGCCGGTGGAGGCGGCCGGAGGCGGTCGGCGTCGGGCGGTGGAGCACGGCGGCTGGCGACGGAGGATGGCGATCGGTAGTGGGTGGCCGCCGGCCACCGAGGGGCGATTGGTGGCAGGAGGCGGCGACCGATAGCCGACGGCGGAGGGTGGCCATAGGCTGCCGGCGCCGGGTGGCGGCTAGCATCGGGTGGTGGAGCATGGCGACCGACGACGGAGGATGACGGCCGGCGGGTGGCGGCGAAGGACGGCAGGAGGCGGCAGTGGGTGGGTTGCAGCCAGCGTTGGGCGGCGGCGAACGGTGGAAGATGGCGGTGGGAAGAGGCGGTTGGCGAAGGACGCCGACGGTAGGTAGTCGACGGCGGGAGGCGGCCGGCTGTGGCAGGAGGCGGCCGGCGGCAATAGCGAGTCGCAAGGGGGTGGCCGGCTAGTAGCAATGGTGAGCGATAAGAAAAGTTTTTATTTCTTATTTCTATTCCAGAAATAGAAAAATAAATTTTTTTACTTCTGATTTATGTCCCAAACCTATTTCTAGAATAGAAATTTGTTCCAGAAATAAATAAAAAAATGAAATTGGTTTGCCAAACGGATTTCTGTTTCAAATCTGTTCCTGGGAACAGAAAAATAGAAAAATAGAGAAACAGAAATGATTTCATGCGCACCCTTAATGTAAGTAGGTTTTCAGATTTGAGTAATTTTCCTAATTCAAATTGTTTTCCAAATTTAAGTAGGTTTCCTAGTTCGGTTGATTTCCTAATTAGAGTGGGTTTCTTAGTTTAGTTGGTTCCCTAAATTTGAGTAGGTTTTCTAATTTGGATAAGTTTCCTAGTACAATTTGTTTTCTAATTTGGGTAAGTTTCCCGATTTGAATAAATTTCTTAGTTTGAGTAGGTATCTTAATGTAATTAGGTTTTTAAATTTGAGTAATTTTCCTAATTCAAATTGTTTTCCAAATTTAAGTAGGTTTCCTAGTTCAGTTTATTTCCTGATTAGATTGGGTTTCTTAGTTTAGTTGGTTCCCTAATTTGAGTAGGTTTTACAATTTGGATAGGTTTCTTAGTACAATTTGTTTTCTAACTTGGGTAAGTTTCTTGATTTGAATAAATCTCTTAGTTTGAGTAGGTATCTTAATGTAATTAGGTTTTCAAATCGTAATTTAAGTAGGTTTCCTTCTTTGGTTGGTTTTCGAATTTGAGTAAGATTACGAGAGAAGAACACTAGAAGTATCAAAAGTTGTGTACGACGCTCACTTTAGTACCAAAAGTTTTTGCCGGCTTACTTTAGTGCTAAATCGGAAAAAAAACGATCACTTAAGTGCTAACGGCGAGAAATTCTGGTCAAATTTATTACGTGGCCTTTATAATTAATTTGTTAATATGACTTGGCAAAATTTTTAAAAAATATAGTCCATGTGGACTACAAAAACGAAGTGGCACGGCCTACGTGGCTCGGACGTCCAAATCAACGTCGCACGGCATGCTTTCCAGTTCCCCAGCTCACTAGAACTAGGAAGCGAAAGTTGAAGAGAGAGAGAGATGACGGCGGCGACCACCACCACCGACGACGGAGCCTCTAGCGAGGGCTCGAAGATCGTGTGGAACTTGCCCTAACAGAGGTTCAAGATGAAGTACATGAAGGCCGGGCTTGGCTTCCCATACATTCGTCCCACGAAGCAAGGCGTGGGATTGGCTTCCCACCTCCGCGTCTCCGCATTTCAGCATGCCAAGACCAACTCCATGTCTATTGTCCCTGCTTGCTCTCACATCTCGGTCCGTTTGAAACCCTTTGTCCACTTCCTCTGTTCTTGATTTGTCTCCTTGCCATGGAACACCATATGCCCACTAGGTGTTCGAGGAAATTACTCTGATGATGGAGCTGGGTTTTTCATTTCTTCAGTGCTGCTTAGTGATTAGAAGCATGAAGCAATTCAATGTTCTAGAACACAATAGGGATTTGAAGGAGGAAGAAGAAGAAAAGAGCGAGAAGGTATGTGGGGAAGATGATTGTTGAAGAGCTCAATGGGAAGAAGGTTGAACTACAACTGCCCACCTTCCCCTTCTCAATTTTGCAGAGATCACCTTTCGGCGATAGGCGCACCTTCCTCGCGCCATGCTGATACACATTCTCTGCTAATTACCGAAAGCCACAAGAGAAAAATCTAAAATCTTTTACGAAACAACAATCGAATCGCAGTCGCAAACAAATAGCAACATACTCATTTCACATGAGATGCAGAGAGAGAAAGAGACAGAGGGAGAGTGAGAGAGAGATTGGGTAAGGCATGGAGACGGCCAATTCAATGGCCAACTTAGGGTTTGAAATTGGGATTCTTTTTCAATTTGTCGATTTAGGGTTCTTATTTGGGGAAAAGCTACTAAACAATGTCATTTTGTGCTTTAGATGCTGATTGAACTCTCCGGCGAGTCACGTCGGCTTAAGAAACTAATAAAAAAAGGTTACGTCAGATTTCTGGCCAAACAAATCGGAGTTGACACTGAAATGAGTGTTTTTTAAAAAATTTGGCACTTAAGTGATTCGGAACAAACTTTTTGCACTAAAGTGAGCGCCGTGCACAACTTTTGGCACTTGTAGTGTCCTTCTCCCTTAAGATTACTAATTTAAGTTGGTTTCCTATTTAATATGATTTCCTAATTTGAGTAGTTTTCCCAAATCGAGTGGCTCATTCAAATTGGTTTCGTAGTTTATGTGGTTTTCTAATTTAATGTTCCCCATTCTTAGTCTGTTTGATGTTTCCTAGTCTTAGTCAGAATGTGCATTGTCAATTGGAAGCATGTAGATTTGAGTTGATAATATATAAGAATTCTTCTCAAGTGATTTCTTCGGTTTTTTTATCCAATTTGTTGGTAATGAATTTTAAAATTCTTTGTTTATTCATACAATTGTGGGTCACGGACCTTGAACTTCTTTATCCTTGTTGGTAATCGACCAACGGGTTGGATTGAGAATAGTTCGACCCAAATTGATCCGTTTGACTCATTTTTGACCTATTTCTAAGTAATACAAATGTAATGATTTATATACAGCCCAATCTATACCAAACCAATACCCGATCTGACTTGTTTTGCTAAAAAACTTATATACTTAACACAATATAAGAAAACTCATATACCCAAATTGAGGTGAGAGCACGAATTGAGCAAAGATGAAATAATCATAGAGGTGGATTTGGTCTAAATAAATTATTAATCCATTATCTAAGGCTTCATCATTCCATACCTATTTACTAAATAAAATTAATCCACATAACAATTCGGCTCATCAAATATGGGTTAAGAAATGGATCAATGATTGGGAAAACATTCCATTATACCTTGATAGCCAACTTTTCTATCCTAAAGTTATTTTACTTCATACGCACCAAATACATTAATTCATCCCGTCATACATCAAGCAGGGTCAAGGCTGGCCGGCTCAAAGAAAACTTGAAGACTCATACGACACTGTAACGGGGTGGTTGTGCTTTTGCAGAGACGGTGATTCGACCGAGATATGGTCATGTTAATGGGTCAAGTCAGCCATTGATGTCAGGCTCAAGTTTTGTCATCGAAGAGCATCATCTATTCCCAGCCAAATCAAATGGAAATGAGTTGGCTGAGGTCACGATTGATGATGACCAATGCAGAACACTTCTCTAGAACCATACACTTCGAACTCGGGCCTGGGTGAGTTGACTGGGCCTCGCTCAACGACAACTCTTCTGGCCTTAACCTCTGTTCCAGCCGCCAAGACTTGAAATATTCTGGGCAGACTCACTCTTTATCCAGCGGTCCAGGATCTTTCCTGTTCAGACATGATTCTTATTCTTATCACAACCAGCTCTCCAGAGCACACCCCCGACGACCCACACAGTTTGCCTCCAACCACTCATAATATCTCTGGGTTGTCTCCGGAAAAAAACCCACTTAAAAGAGAATCCATCCAGAGTCGTCTTCCATCTTCGTCGGTCGAGAGTGGCGGTGGACCAGGTGGGACGAGGCAATTGAGTTCTCAAGAATATTCGAGCAGTAGAGTATTATCTTATGATAGAAACTTTGCCTCAGCAACTTTCCTCTCTGTCCCCATTCAACTCATGATGCTTACTTAGTCCCTAAGAAGTAGACGTAATCCTAATTAGCTAGCCTGGACCAGGACTTTTGGACCCAATATCTAGCTCGGTGCGCCCGTGATATAAAATCATATTATTTCTTGGGTAAAATTACAGAATCAAGGTGGACCTGATCAGACTAGATGGGTGGACCGGGAGCCTCGGACCAAGAGTACGAATATACCGGGAAAATTGTCCAAAAAGTCATAAACTTATTGTATTTTTAATAATTTAGTTCAAAACCTTTTAATTGTGCCTATTGAATTCTAAACCTTTTCACATTTTGTCAATTGAGTCCATCCGGTCAATTTTAGCGCGAAACCACTGACATGGACGCCGAGCGCCCTACGTGGCACGGCCGACGACGACTGGCGCTAACATGAACAAATTTAATAATATTTTTTTAAAAAAATATTTTTGATTTTTTCCTTTTTTTTCTTTTCTTCTTTACTTTTTTCTTTCTCTTTTCTCTTCTTTTTTGTTTTTCTATTTTCTTTTTCCCCTTTTCCCTCCGCCGGCGAGGGTGGTCCTTGCCTGAAACTGTTTAGGTTTTTTTGGACAATTTTCCCTGAATATGCTAGAAACTATTCAGGCAAAGGGCCACCCTTGCCGGCCTTGCCAGCATCTACGTCAGCGTTTTTCGGTCAAAATTGACCGAATGGACTCATTTGGCAAAACATGAAAAGATTTATGATTCAATTGGCACGATTAAAATGTTTGGAACTGAATTGGTAAAAGTGCAATAGGTTTATGACTTTTTGGACAATTTTCCTTGAGTATACTTGCCCATGCTCGCCCAATTCGTGTTTCGAGCCTGGACGAGCCCCACCCGGTCGTTGGACACGTGATTAGGTTGAACAATGGTGTTCTCCGGCATTGAACGCGGAGGGCGATTTTGAGTATTGGGGAGATGAATTTGCTCTGTTGTTATGCAGAAACTTCTCCTGCAACCGTAACGGACTACTTCTTGTTAGTCCATTCTTCACCTTTTACGGATCAAAACAAGAGCACGACTCACCGTCTTCTTCACTTGTACTACAAGTACGAGGTCACCGCCCGAAACCCTTTCTCCAAATCTTAGAAGGCAAACCAAACCATGGCTCATTCTTCAATTATAAATGTTATTCCTCACCCGTAGTATCCTTCCTTCCACACCCACAAAAAAACGAGATTCCAAAGCACTAGCTCGTGTTCTCGAGGCGCTCTAAATTTTTTTTCTTTCAGGTACTTCCCTTTCTTAGCACATGCGAGAATTCTCATGATGCCTTTTCATTTACTGATTTCTTCTGCTTTCCTTGCCGCGACCCGCTTTCCGTCACGTGTCGCAGCAGTTACGAGATTATTGCCGGTTCGAGCCGTGAGAATGACGGACAGAATCGTCGCCCGCATCAAAAGATTGCTTCCTGGCCGCGGTGTCGTGCTTACCCTTTTGCTCCGTCTCTGATCACTCCTTATATCATCATCTAATGCGTTCTCGTGTCGGTCTTCTTTTTTTTTTTCCTCGGTTAGAAATGATAAGTTGCTAATGTACAATTTTCGAGAGTACAAATATTTCTCCCAAAATCACGAGGAAGTACGTGAATCGAAACTACATCGATTAGATTAGTCGGGACCATATTACTTCGTGATAAGTGATCTTAAGTTCTCATGACATGTGTTTTTCGGCCACTTTCATCATTTCTATCGGCCCTTTGTCATTGGCGGCGCACAGGCACGGTGCCCAAAGTCCCAGGCCCAGAAGCCGGCTTTGACTTGCGCGAAGAATACGCCAGCGCCTTTCGCACGGAATCGTACGACGAGTTCTGGGCACGCGTCCTCGCGCTCTCCGACGACGATCCACCCCCGCGCGACCCGGCCGGGTCGACCACCGCGGTTCGGCTCCCCTCCTACCGGCTCTTCGCCGAGCACCTCCTGGAGCCGGACCAGCCCGCCGTCATACGGATCCTCGACCTGGCCCGTATCCGACCCGCGCAGAAATCCCTCTTGGCGGAGTACTTCGCCGAAACCGGCAGAGCCTCCCTCCTCTGCGGCGCCTTGCTGAAGGACGTCGACCGAACGCGGGTCCAATGTCGCTCCCTCAAATCGGCCCTTCAAGCTCTCGGCATCTCCCAATCCGGATCCTTAAACCAATCCCCCAGCATCTCAATCCGCTTAACCGAATTTTCGAATTTCGAAAGCCCGTTAACCCTGTCTTCCTCTTCTACTACCCAAATTCAATCCACCCAAGTTGGTTGCGCGATGTTGTTGAGCCGGCTCGAGTCGAGCCGTAACAAAGCGAAAGCCAAGCTCAAGACCATCAATAAACTCCGGCACGGCTCGGCTACATTCCTTATAGTCGTAACCGCTTCACTGACTATAATCGTCATGGCTCATGGTCTTGCGATGCTGGTGGCCGCACCGGCTATAGTGGCTGCTTCGTTCGAAATGGCTTCGGCCAAGAGCTTTAAAAAAGTCTTGGCTCAATTGGACTCGGCTGCCAAAGGGACCTATATACTGAAGAGGGACATGGACACAATTAGCCGGCTCGTGACTCGGATTAACGACGAACTCGAGCACACGTGTGCGATGGTTCGGTTTTGGCTCGACCGTGGAGACGACAAGATCCAAGTCGGCGGAAGAGCGACCCTCGGCGAAAACGAGTGCAACTTCGTCGAGCAGCTTGATGAACTAGAAGAGCACTTGTACTTGTGCTTCATGACCATCAACAGGGCACGAAATCTTGTTGTGAAAGAGCTTTTGGGTCCAAGTTAAATTAAACTAGTCCGATCCTCTATATTAATGGAATAGTCAATTTGGAATCATTGGCCAGATTCATCTTGGTATCATTCTTGCTCTTAGAATAGTTCTCCGGTTCTTCCTATCTAAAATTTTAGGGTTCATACCACGAAAAAGCTCAAACTGAAACATCTGTGATAAATTTATCTCGAACTAATTTTTTGACCATAAAAAATCTCAAACTGATACACTTGTGATAAATTTACCCTCCGTTAAATTGTATTAATACAACGAAAAATCACAAATTTGTAAACCTGTGACAAATGGAGGGATAAAATCCCAAACTGGTACACCCGTCAACTATCACGTGTCATCAAACTCAGCAATTTGACGGTAAAATTTAACTGAAACTAACGGAGGGTAAATTGTCACAGGTGTATCAATTTAGGGTTTTTGATGGTCAAAAAATTAATTTTGGGTAAAATTGTCACATGTGTACTAGTTTGTGGTTTTCCGTGGTATTAACCCAAAATTTTAACGTTATACACATTAATTAAATAATGTTTTTGTTATTTAAAATTATTTTAATGCAAATTATTTGTAAGCATTGGCAAAACCCAGGAGCGGGTGCCCTGCGCCTTCTAAGTTTCCATTTTCTTTTTGCAATATAAGTAATTTAAAACAATCATATACTTCATATTCTATTCTACCTAAAAAAACACTTTTGTCTCTCTTCCTACCCAATATGCTCGATCCATCATCTCCTATTACTCATCAATCTTATCCGGCCGTTACTTTGCCTCCCTTTAACACTTGTATGTTATCAAGGCTCTCATGTTATCCATAAAAGACCAGAGACTCTATCATCGATGCAATGGCCTACTAAATTTCTCATTTCTTGTGTGTGATTAATAGATAATTTGAGGACCTCTCTCACCAATGCGTTTTTTTTTTCTTTTGATGCGTACATCCCTAATTAGAATCCCATTCCCAGTAATCCCATTTCAAAATCTAATTTAATGGACATGAAAGCAAGCTCAAGCCCACAAAATCCATAATCTATAATCTGGGAAGCACCATTAGAAAGAAAATATTACTGTGGGAGCAAACATCTCTTACTTCAAGAATGAAAGTTGATCAAACGAATCGTCCCAGCTAGTCAAATCGAGATAAATTGTTTCTAAATTTGAATCTTTTCGAGCATGATTATTACTATCGGCCTGCAGTTAGGGACATTCGTCTTGGATCCTGAGATCCTACAAATTACTAAAATAATATAGAATACATCTATTGGAGCGGGCCCAAAAATGAGAGGGATTGAAGCAATCCAGAGAGTCATACAAATAAGCAACCATTGAAGTTTGTGAAAGGAATTTAGGGATATAGCGAGAAAATCAATGGTGGTGGTGGTGGTGGTGGGAGGCATCAGCAAGTGCCTCATGGGTAAAGGAATGCTGATTGCTTTTCTGGTTACCCTATGAGATGACCAATCCAATTGAAATGGGAGTGAAATGATTTTTCTAATTTTTTCACGTTCGTCATACTATTCAAACCATGATAGCATGTGATAAGCTTTAAACATTGCACCATCATGACTGCCATGGAGACTTACAAGAGGGACATGGACAAAATTAGCGGCTTTGGCTCCACAGTGCAGATCTCAATCAGTAGAAGAGTAATGCCGCACAAAACTAGTGCAACTTTTTTACCAAATGGCAACATTGCCTAGAAACACAAATTTGCATGGCTCTGTAGACTAAGATATAGTTATGCATGCTTATTGCTTTTGTTCCCACGAATGTCTTTTTTACATTGCTAGTATATAATTATATGGGAATTTCATTCTAAATTTGTATTCCGAATAATACCATTATATTACAAATCTTATAAAACTTGTCATCATAAATAATCATGACTTTTGTTATATATAATTCAAATTATAAATGGCCATGTTAACTAAAGAATTATATTCTGACAATAATAAATTCATCTTCTATATTGACAGTTATTGAAAAGTTAATAAGATATTATCATAACTCACTAATAAACTAATAGCTTATCCCACCATATAACATATTATAATATGTGTTACAAGCATATGATTAAGTTATTAGCGTATTGTGCTTATAAGCTATGCCTTAAGGTTAGAACATAAATTTTTTACTAAATAATGGTTTATTGGGACTATTCTAGAAGAGTTTGTACTTGTGTTTCATGACCATCAATAATCTTGTTATGAAGGTACTTTTGATTCTAGTTAAATTAAATTAGTGCATTCTATGTATCAATAAAAAATAAAATAGATATTTTCAACATTAAACACTCCTTTTGAAAGAGAAGTTATCAATCAAATAAGATTTTCACTAGTTAAAATTATTTTAACGAAAAGTATTAGTGATCATTGGCAGAGCTTAGGGGCCAGCCAAGGCCCTCACTTCAAAAAACTTTTAAAAAATCGCACACTTCATGTTCTAGCTTAAAATTTTCTCGTTCCTCCAACCTAATATGCTCGATCCATACCTTTTGTGATTCTATTACTCAATCTCATTCCGCCGTTACTGTTGCCTCCCTACAGCACTTGTATAGCACCTTTCATAGTTCAATAATTATACCTTTCGAACATGATAGTGATTCAATGAGCTTTAAACTGTTCACACTCGACGTTAGTGACTCAATGACTTCTCGTGCAATATCTTTTTAGGCATTGAAATTACGAAGAGAGGTTGTCTTGAGGAGAAAAGAAACATGACGAGGTCAATCTTATCTCGAATCATGTCACATGACAGGTCTCTGACCTAATCAGTTAAAAAAAAAATTATCTCGTTAGCCCTAAAAGTTTCATAAAAAAGACACATTACTGTTATCGTCTATGACAGCGATCATAGAACAAAATGTGATCTTGGTCAATGAACTTTTTTATTTGTACTCATGATAATAGTCATACGTTGTAACTCGATATTCCTCGTGAAAGTTCCTTGATAACCCGACAAGACAGTACTCGAAGGACATATTTTTAGGACCCTCCAACGCTCAAGTTAGCTCGAGCTCAAAAGAAATGAATTTGACAAAGTAAAGGGCTTGTGTATCTCTTAAATATCCGGTGCCTCGAATGTTGATTTATGGCTATTTATACTTACTTTGGTAGTCTCGAATTTCCGAATGTTGGGAAACTCGAGATGTGACTGTTCTAATCCGGACTGATGAATCTGGTCTAGCCTTTTTGCTACTCTTCCGGATTCCTCGTCCTATGCTTCTTCCAGATGGGAGTGGGCCTTCTATTTAAGAGCCGAACTTTCTTACTTGGGGAAACATCGATGGACTACTTTTATTTTTTACCCTCGTTGCTTTTTGTGATAACTGATGTAACCAATCCATTTTCGTTTCCAACGATGAAACGCAAGTCCTCCTAAAATGGAGTCCATACCTACTATTCCTCACAATATATGGTAGGTTTACCATCTAAATTCAAGTGTGATAATTACCCAAAAAAATTCTAAACCTATTGTATGGAATATGGATGTCAATTTAGTTATAAACATTTTAATTTGGCTAATTTAATTCTAAACATTTTGACAATTTGTCAATATAGTACTTCTTACCAATTTTGATTGGAAATTGTTAACATGGTCGCTGACTGTTTTACGTGGTACGGCTAACACTGACTACAAGAGGTCACATCTTGCTCACCCCACAGAGCGAGAATCTGAAGGCAAACAACTTAACTAAGGCTCCGTTCGTTTGGCGGAAAATATTTTCCCGGAAAATATTTTCCGGATTTTCCGGTGTTCGGGGGGCGGAAAACGTTTTCCGTGGGAAAATATTTTCCTTCCCCCCCTCACAAAATAGTCTAAGTCTATGGAAAATGACTTCCGCTTCTTCAAAAGCGAAAATCATTTTCCGGAGCTTCTTCTTCTTCTTCTTCTTTACTAAGGTCGCCGGCCGCCGGCCGCCGCCGCCGCTGGTTGCCGCTGCCGCCACCGGCGAAAAATATTTTCCGAAACTTTTTCATATTGATCACCGAACACCGGAAAATTATGTTCCGGGAAAACATTTTCCAGGAAAATGACTTCCGGGAAAATATTTTCCAAAAGGAGAATATTTTCCGCCAAACGAACGGAGCCTAAGAGTAAAGTCAAAGTCAAGAGGCTGACAATTTTCCCTATCTCGCAGCTAAACTAAGGACTATATTGCCAAATTGTCATAAGTTTTATACTAAATTGGCCAAATTAAAAGTTTTAGAGGACTGACTTGACATCCGCACAATAAGTTTAGAATTTTTTGGTAATTTTCCCAATTCAAGGGGTGAATTAACACGTGGAGTCTACGCCGATAAATATATCCTCAAATCTTTTTTTTTCCAATGATTAGTCCTTGTGCATTTACTTATTAGCTAATGCTCATGTATCTCTTAAATTCAAATTTCAAATTTACTACAAGTTCGTAACCATTCCATTGATGAGAAATAAGAAGCTCTTCAATGCGATATGCTAATATTTTCCTATGGGATGTGGGGTTCCATTTATCTCGCGGAAAATGAATGATTTGAAAATTTTTTTCCTAAAAATAATTGCTCGTATCATTTACGAAAATGAATAAATGAAAAATATTTCCATTATCTACGAAAATATTTAGACATAAATTGATGTCGATAATAAAAATATTTTCTTTTGATTGATTATTTTACGCAGTACAAGCGATCATTTTTTGAAAAATATTTTCCAAATCATTCATTTTCCGCAGAACAAACGAATCAAATGACTAAATTCAATACGTTGAGTTCAGTTTTCGAGAGGATCTGAGTTCTTATGTGGCATATCGAGCGTGCCAATGAAATGTCGAAAAGAATGGAATGTGTCACATAAGAAGAATTCCGTAAACGCAATTTAAGGCGGAAACCACTAAAAAGAATGTTTCGTTCATTAATTAGCTCCTTACATTCTTCAAGATGATCCTAATCCTAGTCCTAATCCTAATCTACTCTCTCTCTCTCTCTCTCTTTCTTTCTGTCAATGTCAAGATAATCAATCGCATGACTAACTTCATGTCTGCCACCTACTTCCCCCCTCCAGTCGAACATGTGGTGTGCTGGTTTAGTGTTTGTCATGTAGGACCTAAGCCCCGCTAAGCCACACCCCCCACCCAGCATCCAATTCCAGATTATCTCGGGGCACATGTGCACGTCCTTGGTGTGGACCACGTCATTTGTTCTTAGCCTCTCCCAAAATCAGAACGACACGTTCAAATCACTTGAATTTTCTCTATATAAGAGTCGTGAAATTTAAACCTCAGTTAGTGATCGATATTATATATACATATATTTTTTCGTTCTCAATGTCGATTTCCACCGCCCCTCGGTCACAATTAGCCAAATATAGATAAAAAGAAGAAGAAAGAAACCCGATTTCCCATTTTGCTAACTTCACTTTCTACAACCATGCAAAGCTCTCAATGATATGATGATGCTTTTCTTTCGAAAAGCATCGGGTAAAAAGGTTGAGGTAAACGAAAGAGAGGAGACGGACAAGGACAGGGTACCTAAAAAGGAGGGGTTTGATGGAAGATCACTTATCGGATTCAAAGTCCTTAGCTAAAAAAGTCATGAGAGTCACTTTCTTTCTCATGAAAACCCATCATCACACAAAGTTGCAATCCACACGTGCGCACCTTTGCTTAGAAAGTCCCCCTTTTCGGGAGGTAAAGCAAAGGACATCCCCAAAAAGGGTAAAACGGCTTTCTCTTTTAACAAGTTTTTTTACCACCAAGTTATTTTCGCAAATTGCATGGTGTTATTTTTACGATTGTTGTTTTGGAGGAGAAAACCCATGGTTGATTTCCTTACTGGTGCTTTTATTTGCGAAAAATGAGTGATTTGAAAAATGTTTTTCGAAAAATGATTGCTTATATCACTTAGAAAAATTAGTCATCGAAAAATATTTTTATTGTTGATAACAATTTATGCCTAATTAATTTCGTGAGCGATGAAAAAAATTTCATTAATTTATTTTTGTAAGCGATACAAACGATTATTTTTCTGAAAATATTTTTCAAATCACTCATTTTCTGCGAAACGAACGCACCCTTAAATCCAACATCATTTTGGTGTTTGGTTTTCCCTTTCATGTTTTTGCCTTCTTTCACACGAGATATGCAAATCACTCTCTTAAAAATTATGGGTTAAATTAATTTTGGAGCACCTACACCCAGGAATCGTTTCCATGGTAGTAATCTTTTCAATTGCGATATTTGCAACCCGAATGCAACCCCGGGCATTTCGATGTGATGGTGATGTTTCGAATCTTAATTTACATGTTCTCTAACCTTTTCCATCTGTTATGGTAATAGGGAAAATTACCCAAAAAAATCATAAATTTATTACATTTATGCCAATTTAGTATTAAATCTTTCAATTTGGTCAATTTAGTTATAAATCTTTTGACAATTTGCTAATGTAGTCCATCCAACTAATTTTGACCGAAAATTGATGACGTGAACATCGGCCGTCCTACAAGACACAATCGACGATGATGAGTAAATTTTTTAAATTTTCTTGATATGTGTTGAATTTTTTTCTTTTCTTTTTTTTTTTATTATTAAGGGTGGGCCACTAGGTGAGGGCTCATGGCCCTCGCTCATAGCGTGGCGAGGACTCGTAGCCCTTGTCCAGTGGTCGGTGCTGGTTCATGGCCCTTGCTCTAAGACAGAAAGCTTTATTTCTTTTGTTACTTGATGATGCAGCATTACATTTGCTAAAGCTCGATTGGTTGTGCAAAAAAATAACCAGAAGACAGAGCTATTAGCGTTATCTGGATAACACAAAAAACAAAATATAATCGATCATTTAATCATAAAATCCATATAAGATTTCATTACCATTCGACATCGTTTGACTATAGGGTTTTACACTTGTGGCCTCGTTCACGTCCAAATCAATCTGCCTCCACATTAGCCAAAAAAAGGAAGAAAGGAAAAGAAAAAAACACATATGCGGTGATCGTATCTGGTCCGTCCATGCACTCACGCAAGGCTCTTTCCAGTAATATAATGTCGTTGGGTGGGGATCGGGGTGAACATGGCTCGGTCCCATCCGCACCTTTGGAATCGATGAACCCATGTAAGCTCAACGGCTGCGATCTCACGTCCACCAGAGGCAACGGTGGGAGCGACAGGCAGTCGCTAAAAACTCGATGCCTTCTTCGCTTCTCCAATCCTTTATTATTTTTTTCAACAGCGACGGAAGAGATTTTTGAGCAGAGGCAGATTCGCGGTCAACATCACCGAGCGAAGCTGAACTCCCGCTCCCACATCGAGCCAGAAGAGCAGAGGGGGGGAAGGGGGATTAACAAAAATGATGATGATGATAATAATAATGCAGGCAATGGAATGGAGGGAGGGAGGGAGGCCGTCGTAATCATCCTCCTGTGGCGAGAAGTTGCAATTATTAATTCGAGGAGGGACGGACGATGAAGGATAACGACGCACCAGCCTAGTGAGAGAACCCAACCCAACCTAGAGAGAGAGAGAGAGAGCTTGAGCTTGCGCTTGCCTGCCTCCTCCTCCTCCTGTGGCTTTCGTTCCTGCGCGTGCCCTCCGATTCCGCCGTTCCCTTGGCGCACCTCCATGTTCCGGCGCTCCTCCCTGCTCCGTCGGCGAGGATGAGGGCCGCCCACAGCAGCGTCGACACCGTGAACGCCGCCGCCGCCGCCATCGTCACCGCCGAGGCCCGCGCGCAACCCGCCGCCGTCCAGGTAAAGAGACCGTGGAATCGGTGTTTTTTTTGGATGTGCGCGTGCGCGTGCGCGTGGATGAGAAATGGTTCTCGCGGCTTAAATCTCGGGCTGTGCTGCTCGACTTGAGAGCTGTGTGGGACGAACTGGAAGATCCTCGGGTCATCATATATCGTTTCTTCTCTGGGCTTCTAGTACGCGAATGCTTTCTATGTTTTTTGGGAATTGGTAATGTTATTTCGCTTTGGTTCGATAGTTGCGCCCGTGGAGTCGTCAGGTTTTGGATTCGTCAGTTTTCTCATCCAAGTATAGTATAGGGCTGAAAATCGTGTCCATGCGCACCGAGTTCGAATCCCATCAAGTTACTTTTGAATTCCTCGGCTGCCTTTCTTTTCCTTCCTTTTCTTTCTCAAAGTTTCCCTTCATCTCTCCCTGTTGTGCACCGGGAGGGAAAGAGAACGATGAGAGAAAGCCATGATGGTCCAGAACTCAACAGCCAGTCGATTGGGCTGGTGAACCTCTCGTGGACGTGGTCCTCGTCAAAAAAGGAAAACGGAAATCTAGCGGCCTCTGTGTACTAACAATTGGAAAAAGTAGCGGCTTGCTAATGATTTTACCTTTTGGCTTTAGCTTTATGATTATATAATATACAGAAAACAACCCGTTTCACCTGTTTCTCCTTTCCCGATGATTAAACTAGTCCACTGCCCGAATCGCCTGAATTTTTTATTGTCTCTTCCTTCATTTTTGGGCACCCATTAGCTAGTAGCAAAGCCTGGAAATGCCTGTGAGGCTTGTATTACTTATAGTTGCAACTTGCAAGTACTGGTCTCTCTGGTCTTTGGCTAGTAGCTAAGTAAACTTCATGTGAATGTTCACAGAGCAAAGTCATTTTTTTTTTGACGAATTGGCCGGTCATATTTAGGGTAAAACGGAAATGCTACCTTACGGATGCGACTGCTGCTCCTACTGCGTCGGTCATATTGGTCTTCTGGAAATAACTTCATTTTTCTGTTAACAGAATGAGGAAGTAGTGCTGTCGATGCAATCATATAATTCTTTCAGAAATGTCTCTCTAACCCAGGAAAGGTGTCACCCTTCCTTATCTTCCTGAAAGGCAACACCAACTAGTAGTGTTGGTTTAGATGAGACACCGGTGACCAGGGGCCTAACTGGCTATATCTGACCAACTGCCTAATTTGATTTTCTTTTCTATTATCACTGAAGGAGATGGCCAATTTGAAAATATTGATACTGAGACACCCAAATAAATTTTGAGGACGTGAGCTATCATGAATGATTACTGGTAGAACTCTACTTAGAAAACATATTTCCCTTCTGAGAATATGTTCCAGAGGTTGTTGAGTGTAATATTGCTGATAAACGGTGTTTTAAATGACTGGGCCAATATTCTTAGCTCAGTTAGAAATTTTTCTTCATTAAAATTGCTTTCGAGCTTGCCATACTTTGCTCTGGGGAACAACTTGGAGTGATTGATTCGAAAATAGAATTTTCTATCTAGAATGAAGCCTTTGAGGCCAGGAGATATTGAAAAGTGTGGTAGCCCATTTTTGGGTCTCTTCTTTTCGGGCGTCTCTCCTTGCTTCCCTCATTACTCAAACTGTGTACAATTGGTCGGCCCTCATAATTTTGCATCACAGAAGTGTGCGATCACATAAATCATATCATGAGCTTGATATCATCTCAAGCTGAGTGTCTCCGACAGTTGATTATTTAGTGGAAAAACAATGGTCAATATTTGTGATTTATATGCTTTTTTCTTGAATTCCCTCTTTATCCTATTGATTCCAGAAAAGAAGATGGGGAAGCTGCTGGAGCCTATACTGGTGTTTTGGGTATCATAGAAATAGCAAAAGGATAGGCCATGCCGTTCTTGTCCCTGAACCGTTGGTCCCCAGTGCTGAAGTACCTGCTGCCGAGAACCTACCACCTTCAACTGCCATTGTGCTGCCGTTCATCGCTCCTCCCTCTTCTCCTACATCTATTTTACAATCGGATCCTCCTTCAGCCTCCCAGTCACCTGCTGGATTAGTATCACTAGCTGCCCTAGCTGTCAGCCACTCTCCTTGTGGCCCTCCTCCTATTTTCTCGGTTGGCCCTTATGCTTATGAAACACACTTGGTGTCACCACCTGTATTTTCTACCTTCACCACAGAACCATCCACGGCTTCGTTCACTCCTCCTCCTGAATCACTGCAAGCGACTACACCTTCTTCCCCTGAAGTGCCGTTTGCTCAGTTACTGACTTCTTCGCTGGAACGTGCGCGAAGAAATAGCGGGCCTAAACAGAAGTTTTCATTATCTCAATGTGAGTTTCAGCCTTACCAAATATATCCAGGAAGCCCGGGTGGCAAATTTGTATCCCCAGGTTCTACGGTTTCTAATTCTGGAACCTCTTCTCCTTTTCCTGGCAAATACCCAGTTTTTGGGTTTCATATTGGAGAAGCTCCTAAACTATTGGGCTTTGAACACTTCAACACTCGCAAGTGGGGTTCAAGGCTAGGTTCGGGATCCTTAACACCAGATGGTGCGGCGCTGGGCTCCAGGCTTGGTTCTGGTGCTTTGACTCCAGATGGTGCCGGACTAGGTTCCGGACTTGGTTCTGGATGTTTGACGCCTAATGGAGTGGGGCCTCCATCTCGAGATGGTGATATTCTGCTTGATAAACAGATGAGCGTTGAGGATGGATCTGTACATGAGGAGCCTGTAGTTCATCACAGAATTTCATTTGAGTTGACTAGTGAGGATGTGGCCCGTTGTCTTGAAAGTAAATCAGCTACTTCTATTGGTCTGGAATATTCACAGGAAATAGTGGCAGGAAGCACCACTGAAGGAGGTAGAATTCAAATGGATGCTGAGAATAGCTGTGAGAAGTGCATTAGGGAAAGTGCAGATGGAAAAGCTGAAAAAGCTCCAGGAGAGACGGGCAGAGGTTTCTGTCAAAAGCATTGTCTGAACAAACTTGGTTCAGTGAAAGAGTTCAACTTTGATAATTCTGACAGAAATCTCCATAGGCATTCTGCTATCAGCTCCGAATGGTGGGCCAATGACAACATTGCTGTGAAGGAAGCTAAGCTGGAAAGCAGATGGTCTTTCTTGCCTTTCCTGCAACCAGAAGTTAGCTGACACCCATTAAGAGTTTTGTCTTCATATCAACTCATGAACTTAAAAGGAAATACGCTTCTCATGAGCAGTTCTACATTCGGCGAAGTAGACATTCTTTGGCACATGTGCATAGCTTGGGATATGATCGATGATTAATCGACCTATGGTGGGGTCATCTGTTCATTGCTCAAAAACAGTGTAGAATTACTAGGATCGTTTGTGCAAGCATGATACTGTATTGTCCATCAGTTTTTTGGGCAGAAAAGTAGGGATAATATGTATGAGATACAGACAATGCTTTTGGGGTCGTTCATTCTAGACATGTGCATTACTAAGGGGAACATTTCAAGAACGGATCAATAATTCCGTATCTTTTACTTGGTACGAAAGATGTAACCTTTTATTTCTCATTGAAGGTGGGTACGCTCAACAGTGGAAGGATCGACCAATGTCAGTCAGATAGATACCCGGTAAGTGCTCGTGATGCTCTTTGACTCGTTATCCATCTGCAACGGTTGCTTCTGTCCTCTTACGTTTGATAGAGATTGACAGGACAGAATAATTGATGATTGACTTGACCAGGTTTTGTTGTTTGGGTGAGCGAGGCCTTTGTTCTGTGAAGTTGCTCAATGCTGTGATACTCGGTGGAGTCTCTAGCTGTTTGCTGTCATGTTGCCTTATCTTGAATGCGTGTATGATAAAGCCTGTGGCCCCGTGTTAATAGATGACATTTGACCCATCGTTCTTGCTAGCTTATCTGAGCTGTTGTTTATATGCTTTGGGTCATAGACCATGGCCTAGCCTCGACAGATTATCATATCGTTTCACTATAAAATGAAAGAGGGACCGACCTGGAGGCAAGTATCTGATCAATGATTTCATTAATCCTTAATAGCAATCAGATTATACAAGAAATGAGTAGTATCACATGGAAATTCTGCACTGCTTTGCCGATAGCGTATGAATGCTAATCTTGCTTTCAAAACGAATGATGAGAACAACATGAGTGAACTGAATCTGCAATGAAGTAAAGCTCATTCAGAAGCTTCTAAGGGCGTGGGGAACAAGTCCTGCAAGTAGAAATGCAGTCCTTTTTATGTAAAGAGATCGTATTCTAGTCAAGATGAGTCAAGAGGTTCCTCATCGTAGCCGCAACTCATGAGAATTTTTCAAAGAGATGAGTTCATTTGATCAACCTCAGGCAAATGTCTGTATACTCAAATAAACGAAGTATGGGCACCTATACATACATGAGTATTGTTTGGTCATTTGATTTCCGAGACTGCATCATCTCCGCAATCCCCACTTCGTATGAATTAATCTGTACCTAAAGAAATTTCAAAAGTCAGTGAGTCTCTACCAAACTTGAGAGAGAATTTCTCATCATCTCGCTTGAATTCTACAATATCATAGCAAAATCAGATCGAAGCATTTCATTTTCGAACTTCTTCTGACTCGTTGTTGTCGCGATCTAAAATTTTCTCAGGTTAATGGATTATTAAGACTAAGCTTAACTCGGGCCCTCCCAAGTCCTACCAATTCGCAACTTAGAGTTTAAGTTTTTAACATGCAAAAGTTTTCGTGCTTGGAGCCGCCACTAATCTATTTGTGGTAGGTCGATTAGAAACCTAAATAAAACATAGGGAGATATGTTTTATTCCTACGAACCAGAAATTCTAAGCTCGGGGACTTGATTACGCTAGATCTAATCTAACGCCCTTTCGGTACCTTTTCTTTTCAAAAAATGTTTATGCATGCAGTCTGGATCCATTTTATTACCTAATCACTAACATGTGAGGTGTTCATGCGGGTGCGCAAACCACCAATTTAACACCCAAGAAAGCAATAACTAAATTGCAAGATTAGGAGAATGACGTACCTTAATGCAACGCAAGCATCTGCATTGTTAGTAGAAAATCATACAGACAATCCTACTATGATTTCTAATTAACAAAACAAGGCACTCGAGGTGTTTTTTAGGGTTTGCGCTTTATTAAAATGCAAACTAACCTATATGCAATGACGTGCAAAAAATGACATGAGATTAATACAACCTAGCATGCGAACTATATGTCATGCGACGACGCGACCTAATTCTAATGACGGACAAATGATTTATTTTTGGTATTTTTTTTTCAATGAAATTCGGAATTAAAAATACTCAAATCAACATGCAATCTATCCTAGAGAAAATGATTTGATCTATCCTAAAGTGACTCATTTTTTTGGATTTTCATGGAAATTCGGAATCTAAAAATAACCTAAATAATCTATTAGGATTAGAATAACACCTAATTTAAACTAGGAAATAAATTATCTCAAGTCCTAATTTAAATTAAATAATTATCCTATCTTCTAGATACATTTAGGGTTCCCTAAACATGCAAAACTTCTAATTTAAATCTAACTAACAAATTTTTGGATTTTCTTTATTTAAAAGAAAAGCAATCAAACAAAGATAACAACAACATTTAAACAATCCACGCAATCCGCAAGATTCTTCAAATTCAGATAAGCCAAAGAAATCAAACTAACGGTCATATCTATAGGGTTACAGATATCGACGGAAAGTTGATTATTCGAATTTGGAAAGCGAATAAAATCTATTATCGTATCCAAGTGATTATGGATAAGATAACGATTTTCCGTATCGCCGCGTATCGTACCTTAGGGATAAGGTCGGATAGTCGTCCAGATACGTTGCCAAATTAGGAATGATTCCTAATTTTGGGTATTTTCAAATATTGCGGATATAGCACACATCATCCTAAGGTATCTAGCAATCCACGCACTATTCACGAAATATTCAAATACCCGAAAGATTAGGAAATTGAATATTCTAAGATTATAGATGAGAATCTTACCTAATTTGTAGATATTTCCAATTCGAACTTGGATCAGACTCGGGCTTGCGGATCGGGACGGTGACCGACGGCGGATGGCCGACGGCGGCGCAGGGGCAGCTCGGCTAGGCGCCGGGCTCACGGACGACGGCAGCAACGACGACGTCGATTTGGGGGCGTAACCACTGGAGTTGTCGTGGACATTGCTGTGGTCGGCAATGCTTGCGGCTCGGCAAGGCTTACGGCGGTATCTTGGAATTGGACTCCCTGACTTTAGTGGTCAGCAAAGCAAAGGAGTGGTGGAACGTGGATAACCTGCAAGAAAGAAAAAAAAACAATCTTTTTCTTTGGTCTTTTATTGCTCCTTTATGCCCCTCCCTCTCTTCGTATCTTGCATGGACTAATGGCCGGACTACACGCCAAAGGAACTTCAAGGACGATTGTGGAATTTTGGGCACATTGCAACAAAACAAGCACACCAGGAGGAACGTAGGGATTCGACTGGAAACTCGTTGGCTTGACTAGTGCAGGGCTGGACTGGAGACTTGACGACAAAGAAGAGTCCAGCTACAGTGGCACAGGATCGTCAAGGGCAGTAGCTCAACTACTTCGTCGATGGCATCAAAGGATCCCAGTCTCGGGGGCAGCAGATCGTGTGGAGCTTCGTGGCTTCGTCGTCGATGACAAGGCGATGATAAGGCGCTGAGTTGGGTCACTGTTTTATGGCAGTAGCAGCGGCAGGGATCGTCGTTGAGCAACGGAGGCAGCAAGCTACTCACAGCCACAGGTTTGGCTGTGAGTGGGCGGCGCGGGCGCGGGCACGAGGCAGCGTGGCGATGAGGCGGCGCTTTCTCACTCTTGCCCTTTAGTCTCGCTATTTCCTCACGTGTATCTCGTGCTCTCTCTGAAAACCCTAATCTTGAAAATTATGAGAGCCCCCTTGATTATGACGCATAACGACATATTTATATCGCAACCCTAAGTTAATTAACCGGGCTTCCTAGTCCTAATGGGCTTAGACTTAGGCTTTATCATTTAATTTTATTTTAATTCCAAATGAGCTAAATTAATTCGGGCTGATTTAAGCTCAAATTAAAACAACCAAAGCCTTTTAGACTTGTGAATTTTGGCCTCCAATCCCTTGAGTGAGCCGAGTGCTCGAGCTCGGTTTACGCGATGAATTTTCAGCTTTCTCGCCACCACCGGTCCGATGCGGATTGCAACTAACTTATATGAACTTAAACTATATGCTATGCAATTTTAATATTTTTGTTTAGGGGTTAAAATTTAATCCCTAATTTTTTATGTAAATTATTATTAAATGGTCGGTCGAAATTTATGTGTCAACAGCTGTCTATTGAACTTGGCAACATTATGATCGATCGTCATCAACAACGTTGAAAACCTGAATATAAGCAATCAATCAGCAATCAGCTAACACCTACCGAGTCAGTCTAGGTGTCTTCTTTTGACCAAAAAAAATATCTAGGTGTCTATTTGAACTCTACTAACCGTTCGACAATGTTGTGTACAGATGTACACCATGTTGTCATTATCTTCCTGAAAATTGTTAATGGACTAGCCAGATCTTTTCTTATTTCTTGATAAGGAAAATTAGAAAAAGAATATCTATGCGTTTGTAGGGGTTCGGCTGCGTTTGGGAACACTTTGGGAGAAAGTCTTTGGGGAAATGTAAAGGACTTTAGGTTGAAGGGGTTTTTTAAAATACAAATTATGTTTGGTAGGTTGTAACTTAAAAATCCTTTGCAAAGTAACTTTGGGTAAAATAGCGTTTGGAAAAATTATACTTGCAAAGCTCTTTTTTTATTTTTTATTAAAAATGTTGAAACCCTTCGCCGGCTCCGTCGAAGGGCAGCCGGCCGCCGGCGACCAGATCTGGCGCCGGCGGCCATCGTATGAGGTGAAAGGACCTCCGGCAGCCCTCGGCGACGACCGACGAGGGCCGTCTGGGGTCGAGCGACCCCCGACGAGGGTCGCCAAAACCAGGCGAGGGCCGCCGGCGACCCAGATCTGACGCCTCGCAGCCCTCGCCCGAGGCTGACCGACCTCAGCTCGTCGTTGGTCACCGAGGCTGCCTGAGGGAGGTCGGCCTCGGGCGAGGGCCGCGAGGCGTCAGATTTGGGTCGGCCCTCGCCTGGTTTTGGTGACCCTCGTCGGGGGTCGCTCGACCCCAAGCGGCCCTCGTCGGTGGTCACTGAGGGCCGCCTGAGGGAGGTCGGCCTCGGGCGAGGGCCGCGAGGCGTCAGATCTGGGTCGTCGGCGGGCCTCGCCTCGGTTTGGCGACCCTTGTCGGGGGTCGCTCGACCCCAGGCGGCCCTCGTTAGTGGTCACCGAGGGCTGCCTGAGGCCGTTTTGCCTCAGATAACCGCCGCGCGGCGCCAGATCTGGGTCACCGGCGGGCCTTGAAGGTCGTCAAGGTCGCGTGACCCCTCGCGGCATTCGTGCGACCCCTCGCGGCGATCGTGCGAGCCCAAGCAACGGTCGGTGGGTTGCGCGACCACGCTGGCCCTCCTCCGGCCGGTTGCCGTCGCCTCACAACCACGCTGCTGAGGTCTCAGCGAAGAAGATGATGAACAGTATAGACGAGGCCAAAACCGGAAAATAAAAAAAAAGATGAGGGTAGTTTTGGACGAAATTTTTTTCACTTACTCTTGGGAATTGTATGCCGAGAAAGCTGAAAGTCCCAAGGCAGCCTAGGACCTGCCTTGGGCTTTCAGCCTTCCGAAGGCTTTCTTTTCCTCAAGGTGAGTTGCAAAAAATTTACCAAACACCCAATATTTGGCTGAAGGAGCTTTGGACCCCTGAAGGCCCTTGGGAAAGCTATTCCCAAACGCAGCCTTCATCCATCTTTTAGTGTGAATAAAGGGAAAATTGT